ACTTTCTTTGGCAAACAATTCGTCCGCGCCTCGTGTTCGTGGGAAAGACCGGGGCCCTTCCTTGAGGATGTATGAGCCATGCCAAGGAAGACTTGAAATGCTTTTGAAGCCATTTCAAACTGCTCCATGGCCTTCCCATGTACAGCTTCGTCCACACAGGCCTGTCAGGAGGCTGAACTCCCTCCCCCCCTCCCACCTCTCACTCTCTCCTTCCTCCCCTCTATCTCACCTCTCCACTCCTGCCCACTGGACCGGGACTCTTAACCACCCCCCAATTCACACACACTGCTAATGGAACTATTTTGCACTCTCATTTGCACTATGTACTCACCTATTTAAAAATATATATATCCTGCTTACTGAATAAAGGGTTATTTTGTGTTTTTTTTGTAATTATTTGAGTTTTCTTGTATTCCTGAATGTATCTATTTTATACCTTGGGACTCGTGGGAAACAGTATTTTGTCTTTCTGTGTGGACCAAACATATTTGGAGATTGACAATACAGTTGACTTTTGACTTTGATGTTTAACGCACTTGGTTTAAACGTAGAATGTGGAAACCATCGATAGGGCCACACTCAGGTGATCAGGCTTTGACCACAATGTAGTATCTTAATGTAAATACATGTTACCACAATCTGAATAGAAAATGCTTCATTTTGTATCTCCTTGCAGGCCCATCTTGTGAGAAGAGGAAAGGCCCGTGACCAAAATCCATGCAGAAATGGCGGCGTTTGTGAGCCCCACCCCTGAAGGAATTGGTTGTCGTTGTCTCTGACATTTTTGGGGGCGTCAACTGCGAATCCAGAGTGTTCTACCGATTGCCAATGTTACACGCAGTCAGTGAGGAACAACTCTGCACTGCAGGGGAGCGTGTGAGGATTTAATTTCCCCTATCTGGTTTTTATCTCGGTGGAGATTAACTAGAAATGACATATGAAAATGAAATATACGTTCTTGAAAAAGATCAAATAGCCTCATTTTGAAGGCTGCAACAGCAATTAATATTTCCTCCTGAAGATGAGCTCGGGAATGCAGAGCTGCTTCCTCTAGCAATTTGATGTGAATGAACCCAGCGCTGTTTAATGGCAGTTTGAAAAGGCCTCTCTGCCAAAAGCGTTTTGCAAATTAGATGCCTGCTGCAATTTTCACCTTTCACATAAGCAATGCCATTGCGGTCATCATTTGCAAAGGCCAGTGGAGTTTCTAATGTTTCAAGGATACACCTAGAGAAAATACAGTAATGATTAATTTCTTCCCCTGACCTTGATGTTTCTGTTCAATTCTGTTTTGTCAAAGTGCACTGCATATTTCACAGCACATTTGGAGGTACTAGAGTAGCAGCAGTCTAAAAGGACATTTATCAAAATAATGGATGATATTTCTGCAGCCTGACTACATATTTTTCTTGAATCTTAATATGAAGTACAATCTCCTTTAACCTTTGAATTACGACACCCATTAGCCATATACGTGTTATTTACTTGCCTACTTAGATGCATTAAAAATAATTGAAGAGATCAGTAAACAATATTAATGTGAGTTAATCAAGGTAAGATACTTCTACCCACAAAGAATTGCTCTATTGGATAATGTTCTTGCAGTTAGTGATCTTAGGTCATGTTTGAGTGGTAAATCACTCAGTTTTCCGAGCTGTCCGAAGACTTGGTGGTGTTCTCTCTCTCTGTGTGCAGGCCCTCTGATTGTGTCTGTTGCCGATGGTTCTGTGGTCCCAGCCGCAGGAGGCTTTCAGAAACCTGTGCAGCCCCTCACCATGTCTCAACAACGCCACCTGTGTGTCCAGGGGGAGATGAGCCATTTCTGCAGGTAAAACATAACATAGATTGAGTGGAGGTCACTTTCATGGCCCCAATTCCAATCCACCCCTACATCCTACCCCTACACTGTTCCCCCGGCTGTTGGCACGTTCGCGTGGAGGGTCCTTCCACATTAAGTGCTGTTCCAAACCAATGAGTGTGGAGGGGGAGTGGGTTATCAAGCCCTCAAACAGTAAGTCTGCATCGGTGCTGACTTCACCTGCTGCCCTACCTGACCGGACTCAATGCTTTTTTGTGCCCGTCAGGAAACAAGCTGTGTACAAACAGTTCCAGCAAACATTCACTGATAAATTGCGATGTTAACAACCTTATGATAACCTCATATTTGTTTTACTTAGGATCATACCTGTGAACACAATTAAAGATGTTTGGAATTTTATTTTAGTTATTCATTTTATTTTTTGTCTAAGAGATGCTGATTTGAAACCGTTACATACAGTTACGGCATTTCCTGTTTCTGCCGGAGAGAGGGGAGTTTGTTCCAAAGCTTGGCGCTGTATTTGCACCCTTCATCTGATAGGAGGGAGCCTCGTTGAGCTGCGAGTGTCACTCCGCCACGGAGTGGGAGTGGGTAGGGTGTGATTTGGAATTGGGCCTATTGTTACCTTTCCGGATGCCTGGAAGATCATGTGAATATTTCCCTCTGAGAGTGGACACAAATTGGTCCTTTTTCTCCATTTTCTACACTGAATTGTGATTATAATTACATTGTAATTAAGAGCTCTAGGTCTATAACAAACCTTTCTGGCAGACCTTAAGCCTCAATGTTGGCTTATTGTTAATGCATCTGATGTGAAGACCACAACATACAATGAATTGATCTCACTCACAGTATTGTCTGCAGAGCCGGTGTAGCTTATTTCTCCATTTCATTTTCCTCTAACATTAATAAAAAAGACTTCAGAACCACACTCATACGCTGGATGCTTTGTTAACCTTAACATGACGGCTGTTATCTTTTATCAATCCTACATACACTTTTTTGGAGCCTAATACCGACTTGCACACCAAATATGTATAAAGTATAATGACATCTTCACCTTTAAATAAAAAACTAACAGTGGTCCACATTTCCTTAAACACAAGTTAGACATGTTTTTGGTTATTTAATTTAACTATTCTTTTGAGGTTTCTGCATTTTATGTCTTTTAAATCCAGACATTATACTGTAAAAGATCACAGACTAATTAGTTTTATATTGTCACACAAATTGTGATGGAGGCTCCAAAATAATACATTTGACAGTTGGGTTTTTCTTCATTATAACCACTCTTTATTCTCTTAAATATAATACAAATCAAAGAAACACTGTATTAAAGTTACAAGAATGTAAATCAAGTTATGGGTGCATTTTCTATATAAGACAGTATCAGCAAAATATGAAGGGGGATTTATTCAGCTGTAGCGAAGTATAATCTGTTATTTATTATTTATTTTCGTGTTAATTTGTGTTGATATCCGACTCCACTGTTTTTGGCCATCAAGGTCATACAAAATAAAACAACTATTTGCAGTTAATAAATCACCCACGTTTGTATCACAAACAGGTCATGTAGAAAACAAAATTATGGCCCAATAAATCTTGTAAAAGAAACACATATGGCTTGTTAGTGTTAAAGACTTTGGCTGAATTGATCCGATGACACTGACCTCCTCTTAACAGATGTCTGAGTGGGTTTTCCGGGAAGAATTGTGAAGAAATAATTGACTACTGCAGGCTGCTCAATATCAACTGCCTGAATGAGGGATTGTGCTTGAGTGTAATTGGCCGGTATCAGGTAAGTAATTCAATGTTACAGTCTAAATTAAATACTCTGTAGGCCGCAAAATATGACTCATGGTGCACCAAAAAACAGTATGAACATGAAGTGAATAAAGATAGAGGGACATAGCGTATATAATGTATAAAGTGATATTCTTTTCTAGATGTATCTATCCTTAAATTAGATGATTTACTGGCAAATGCTAACCGGCAGCTACTATGTTATGATTTGTTTTCTCTTTAATTAAATACAAATATAAACTACAGATTTCACAAGGATAGAAATGGTATATTTATTGCCTCTGAGAAAAACAAAGAGAATAACTTCACTAATAGAAAATATCTCCAGACAGCAGTAATCCAATTCGTACCCATTGATCACTGTGAGTATGTAGACGTATTGCTCCAACAGACAGCTTCTGGTCTAATTTGCCTTTCTATTGCTCAGTCTCCTCCAATGTCTGTGTTCTTTACAACACCTGAGACTGCTCCTAATGCCCCATAGCTCCTAATTATTCCCCATCAGTCTTGTTCCATTAGGCCATTGAGAATGTTCCTCATCTAAAGCACTTTTCAGCACTGCCTATTGGTGCTCCTTAAACCAGGGTCGGACAAAAGCAAAACAATTACTGTATGTTCGCTGCACATAGGCCATTTTTAAATTTAATTTTGTTTTTGTTTTGTATATTTCTGAAGTGATTTTACCTTTGGGTATGAAAAACCATTGGGTATTCCATTAAATGCAGCATAATCATTTATTTGCTCGGTAACAGAGAGGCTCTTTACAGACAGAATAAAACCAGAGTTTGGATCAAATGGATTTAATATTTGTAAATATAGTCTAGAACAGTTTTTTTGGATTTGGATTTCGACTGCTATGCTTTGCATTTGTACTCCAGCAAACCAAATGTAAACATGTCTTAGGGCAAAGTGCAGATTTCTAGCAAAAAAAGGGTCGGTTCACCCAAATACAAATTCAAAAGACAAACCCTGAACATCAAAGCCACTTAAACCATAATTCAAACAAAAATGTCAGTTTGTCTAAACTGCCCCTGATGTTAACAACCACATCAGATGAACACTGTGCAAAATGCTTTCTTAGTAATTCATGCAGCTCAAGGGGGGAAATAAACTACATTTCTACACTTTTCACCCACCAAACGTCCTTAAAACAGAGTCAACAATGTATTCCTCATGGTCATTGTTTAATTTGAAATCCAGTGTGCTCAGGTAGAAGAAGAAAAAACAATGGAAAACAAATCTCTGCTCTAACATACCCAAACAAATAGTGTGTTGTTTTCCTGCAGTGTGTTTGTGCCCCAGGATGGATTGGAGAGTTTTGTCAATATGTAGGCGATGCCTGCCTGATAAAACCCAACAGCTGTTTGAATGGAGCCACATGCATTACAGCAAGTCAGCTATCCTCTCCTCCACGATACACCTGCAAGTGCCCCCACGGCTTAACAGGTGAGATAACTTTGCTTTTTTTATCTGGTTTTGTTGCCTCTTTCCATCCGGCGGTCCGTCTGTCTCTTGGGAGTTTATCTCAAAATGTGGATCAATTTGTAAAAACACTTGTGGCAATGTTGGTCTTCAGGCAAGGAAGGACTGATGAATGTTTGGGAAATATCTGACGTGGAACTGGTATAGCTTGACATTAACATGCTGTTGGCAGAAGTTTGAGTTCTGTTTTGACATTTGGTGCTATGTAAACATCATGTTTACTGAATGAAATGTATATTATGCAAATATGTGAGGCAGACATCCAACACAGTTGGTGAAGGCATTCATTTTCTGAATATTTTAAGACTGTAGCTGGAGCCACACGAGGACGATAACGGTCGTATCCGCTACAGTTCTCTATCAGATAGACGGTTCTGCCACACGACGCTGACAGGGAAACGCAGATAACGATAACGGGTCCCAAGGTGGGTAGATCTGCGGACGAAATGCTCTGGGGGGCCAAACGGCTCCGTGTCTACGCCCTATAACGATCATTTCCTGATAACGATGACGCAATAGACCCAGTGTTTCGAGCCAGGTCCCGGTATCTCGCAGGACAGTGCACCCAGCAGGAGCTTCCAGCTAGATTTGATCGATATGGACATAAACGCGAGTGAAGTCTAATCGGACAGGAGAGGAGACACGCAGCTCTGCATGATAACCTGCAGCTCCGCCCGCTGTGATGGAGCGATGAGCTGAACAAAACACACACTTCAAGTTAGATCATCACCCTTAGCTATTTGAATTACCTCTCAAACTACCTGAACTAGTTATAAATATGTTTATTTCTACTGTTGGGTCACTCATTACTGGATCAGCCAGCTGCATGAGACCACGGATTCTGACGGGCTGTCAGGAGAATGGGAGGAAAAGAGAGGCTCCGTCCTCGGTGTATTATTCTTATATTATTATATAGAGTCGTTATGCATTTGTTTTAAAGCTCAATAAATAACAAATAAGACCTTTGACCGGCACTTTTCTAATATTTTCGGACATGTTGACCGGCGAAACCCCACCTCTGCTGCTAAATCCAGCGCGGAGAATAAACAGAAGGGCAACCATGCATGCGCGAGAAGTGTTCTTCGCTGCTTTTGGTGTATTTTGTTGAAGAAGTACAGCGCCACTTACAGGCCCGGCATATGTACTACAGCGTCTCCAGCGGTTCAAGCTGTCTCGTGTGGACGGACACGTTTCTGGTGCCTGTTGCGTGTGGACGGAATACTTTTTTGATAACAATTTCGTTTCGTTACCGTTATCGTTCCTCGTGTGGCTACAGCCTGTGATTCTGCTGACTCATGAAAGGCATTCTGTTACGGGTGAGCGAAGCAAGCAGGACCCAAATGCAGATAACACTGAAAATACCTTTATTTCAAGGATATCACGGACAAACAGAACACTCCCCGGTGAACACAGTCACAGACAAACGACGAACCAACAATGACAGACAAAAAAAACAGAACTTAAATACACACAGAACTAATCAAGGAAACAAGAGACAGGTGAGGAGGGAGGAGAAAACACAGGGGCACCAGGTGAACACAATCAAGAAAACAGGTAGGAGGGAACAGGTAGGAGGGAACACACACAGACAGGAAACCAAAGACAGATCTAAACAAGACAAAACAAAACGCAGACAGATCGTGACACATACGACTCTTAGATTGATCCATCAATTATAAAAGTTTCTTCATTGCCTTTTGTTTGTGTTTTAAAGTGCAAAAGGTTAAAGTTTGAAATATACAGTACACAAAAATCATGTGAATAATCAAAAGTCCACAACTTAGGTTAAATAAATACTGATAATAATGTAATGTATTATTGTTAATAAGATTCAAATAAAAGTTCAGCAGACTTCTTCGTGTTTAATTTAATATTTCACATTATATTAGATATACTTTATTAATTCCAATTTGGGTCTTTTTTAAATTAATATAAACAATGTAATTTCTCCTAATGGAGCTTTTCTAACCCTACAGTATATTTCTATAGGTCCATTTTTAATTCAAATGAACACAATAACAGTATTACCATGCACTGATACCACAGCATCTAAACAAAGACAGAATAATAAGATTTCAAGCAAACATTTGCTTTTAAAGCAAAGACTCTTTATGAGTTCATTTCATTTTCTGATGTCAGTTTTTCTAATATCTTTACAGCTAGCATAAAGCAATCTTGAACTGTCCCCTAGTAAATGTTTGTTACCTTGTAACACAATAGTGATGTCTCACCGGAGAGCATTTTTTTATTGAGACAGGGGGTCACATGGATCACTCAAAGACACCAATTACTCTACATTGCTTGCAGATGGCCCCAGCTGAGCACCGTAGTTAGAAGGGAGGCAGATTTTGGTTTAAACCCCCATGTTAGCAAGCAACTGCTCCAAAGCAGCTTATGTGTTGCTGCTGCATTACAAAATGTTGACCTCTGGCCCCCTTTAGGAGGTGGACAAGGAAAAACTTCCCCCACTGAGCAATTCATTTATATTATCAGCAGTAAACACTAGCTGTAAACATTGTCTAAACCCAACCAGGGAAGAACCAAAACTAGCAACTACAACCAACTGAATGTGTTTGAAGTGCAAATTAATTGAAACAAATAATTTGCACAAATGTTCATGCCAAAAAGTGTGTGGTTGGCTTGTGATTTTCAAATCACAAGCCAACCACACATTTTAAAGCAAAGCCAATTCTTCAATGAAGGATGTTTTATTTTTGTTTAACCTTGAAGCTTATTTACCAGTCGCCTTGCCTGCTTGACATTTCTAAGGCCTGCTGCTGATTGCATTTAATCCAAGTACTCTGGCAAACTGCTTACTAATTAGCTGCCAGCTCGGAACATTTCCGAAAGTTGACAACTGTTAAAAAAAAAGACAAGGGGAACAAGGGAGGGACATAAAAACAAAAGAGGTTGTTGTTACAGAGTATGAATTTAAGAAGAAAAAGCCTAGCTCTTTTCATTTGGTTTAAAAAGATGCAACAAATTCATTGAAAACAGACAACATCATGTTTGATTTTCACAAGTTCTTTGACACCTCCCATGTGGAGACAAATACAGTATAAACACAACAAAGCATTTCAGAACATATTTATAAATAAGCTATATGCTTCTGTGATAATGTTTGCAGCCGATACCCCATATAGGAGAGGTGAATATGTTATCGGATTTACAGCTATGTTATTTAATTCCATAATAATATCATGTTTCTAGCATTGCTTGAATTAACTGTAAATTTTGCCTTTGAAATAAAATCATAAATGTCAGACCCTATCATAAGAGGCTCATGAGCATCATCCCTATTTAGATTATTCTATAATAAATGTATTATTAAAACAATAAATAAAGATGTTAACCCTTGCTGAACATTGTTAATACTATATAGGGTTAACAATTGTACCCCACAGTATTGTTTCATTGCTTAAACAACCGGTGAATGCATTTTTTTTCCTTCTCCAGTGCACTCAGGTTTTGGCCTATAGCGTATTTCCCAATCTAGCTTAAAGTCCTGACACACTGACCTGTCAGTCAGATAAGCCCTTACATAGCACTACATGAACACGCTTTTTCCCCTCTGTTCAAAGCTGAAATCTGTTGCCACTTCAGTAATGGAAAATTGTCTCTTACACCATGGCAGGTCTTAGTGACTGATAGAATTCATCATTTTCTGGCATCTTGGGATTTTTGCTTTAGAATGTCTGGCCATGCAGCATAGAAAGGCCAATTTAATTTGAAGCTTTGCCCAGAAACCCCACCGTACTCTTATCATTGATCATAACTCAGGAAACATTACTCAAACCCATGCATTCGGTTTTCATTTTAAAAGGCTTTGTTTTTCACCGAACAACAACTGCTGGCATATATTTTGATAGTCTCATTCAAATTCACTATATTTTTGTATTACGTGGACCACAATAGAAGGCATGGAAACTAAGCATCCAGGTTAATGTATGTTTAGAATCCACCAAAGATGCAGGATTTTGATTAAAAGACAAATAGTGAAAC